AGGGGCCTGTCTGTGTGACATCACACAGACAGGCATCTGAGATCGGCTCGATTTGAGAAAGGGGAAAATATTTAACAAGATTAAAAAAAAAAAAACACTGAGTGGATCTTTATCATTATAGGGTGGTTGTGTACACACACTGCCAACACATTTCAGTTCAAACAGCTTGTAAAAGTGCATGTAGCATGACTCGCATCCGATGACCCCTTTAACCTAAACTGTGAAGTATAAACTTGAAAATATTCTCCATGTATCATCAGGGTCGCTGAGCTCAGACGTCCAAACATTTCCTGTTACAGATTAATATTTTCTTTGTTGTTATGTAGCAGGGATATCGTTCAGAATGGGTGTTTTGGAAGCGCTGAAAGAAACGAAATGTCTGTTTAAAAAAATCCTGATGTTTTGGATGTGATTCTTCCTGCATGTGATGCTATCAGTGTCTAACACTCTCCAGCTGCTCAGCTACAGAACAAAGACCAAATACTATAGGCATGAGTGTTTGAAAAGACTTTCACAGAGGCAACGACAGCAGCAAACATCACGAGCTGATAATGGTTAAACATCAGACTGATAATGGTGGATTATAAGAGACAAAAACAAAAAGCAACACATCTGCATGTGTTCAGAATATAAAGGCAGGAAATAGCTGGGTTAGTAATTACAGACAGATGCTGAAGGCTGTATTGTTGTGAAGGTTCATTGTCCAAGTGCATATCGTCAGTTTCAGTCTTCAGATAGTTGTAGATACATTTAACGGGGTCATATGATGTTGCTAAAAAGAACATTATTTTGTGTATTTGGTGTAATGAAATGTGTTTATGCGCTGCCGTGTCCCGGCACAATGAGTTTTGCTTTCACAACGAAACACACAGCGTCTTCACGAATAAAAGTTACGCCTTCTTTCTTTGTGTGAACATTTGGGCGGCTAAAAGCACAGATAATAACACCCTCTTAGGCAAAGTCTGTTAAAGGGGTCATATGATGTTGCTAAAAAGAACATTATTTTGTGTATTTGGTGTAATGAAATTGTAGCTGGTTCAGATATTACAAAATATAATGAATATTGTTAATGAACTTCATCAAAACTAATGTGTTTATGCGGTTTAAAGGTGCAATAGGTGATTGTCTTCAGAATTGTTTTTTGTTATGCTGGTTGAAAGTCTCTTCACATCCCGATAACAGTCATTAAGTTAAGTGGTCTAAATGTATTTGTCCGTGTTTATATATTCTGTGGAAGGCATAGGATCAAGAAATGTTCGTCCAATCAAAGTGCTCGGTCCGAACGTTTTAATATGCTTTCCTACCTGCCTGACAACATATGTATTAGCATACCTATGCGCACCCGGTTCGCGCAGACAGGATACGTTATCAGCGCGTTCACGCACGCTGTGCAGACAGAGAGAGAATGGCAGACAAACATCAACAACCCGATCTTCCTTCCTGGTATTGTAGTACTTTTAAAGTTTTCTCACCGGTGAATGACACATGATGTAGCCCAGCGGTTAATCCAGTCCTCGCGCCAGCTCGTTAGAAGTGAGCGATGTGCATGAACTGTGTTCCGATAGATAGGATCCCTACACAGTGTTCATCGCTCCCTCCTCCCTGAGCGGGGGAAATCCGTTGAAGTTTACTTCACTTCGGAACATGGGCTGGAATTGGGAACCACTGATGTAGCCTATTGTAGTAATGTTGTCTCTGGTATTCTGGTCTGTGAGCGTAAATGCATTCAGGGGGTGTGGCTTTGGACGGCGATTGCAGGGAGGGTGGGACGTTCACTTTCAGTGCTATCAGGCTAAAGTTTGCATTTTCCAAGATCTCCTACTGCCCCTTTAAGGTTAAAAAAAACATAATTTTCCACATACTGTACATTATTGTTTCTCCTCTATGCCCTGCCTTTCTGAAACGTGTCGATTTCGTCAACAAAGCTCATCGTTTTGAAAAACCCGGTGTGCTCTGATTGGCCAGCTATCCAGTGCGTTGTGATTGGTTGAATACCTCAAGCGTGTGACGGAAATGTTACGCCCCTACTGCAGTGTTGCCAACTTAGCAATTGTGTTGCTAAATTTGGCAACTTTTCAGACTACCCTAGCAACTTTTTCTTTCGAAAGCACGTAGCAACAAATGTAGCAATTTTTAAAATCTTTCTTGGCAACTTTTGTTAAGTGACTCAAACAATAAAAAGGCACACATTTTCCATCTAAATTACACAAAAAGAGGAAACCAAAGATGCCTAGCAGTAAAAACATTACATGAATTAAGTTAGCTGCTATTTTCAATTGTTCAATTTAATAATATTAGTAATAACTGAATAATTGTTTATTTGTGATACACCTTGTTAGCTTGTATACTTTCGATTGTTGATCATTGTTGATGAAGAAAAATATCTAGGAAAAAATAAGAGAAAAATGGAAAAGGTACTAGTAATTTTCTAGCAATGACATCGCAATGTAATTTAGCAACTTTTAGCAACAAATTGATCTTCCTTTAGCAACTTTCGCTGAAAATGAGTTGGCAACACTGCCATACTGTGATGCCGTGTCCCGGCGCGACGAGACAAAAACAATAAAACCCATTATAAACGAGGCATTTGTTGCATCCAGTGGGGACATAAGAGCTTGTAACACGTCAAAGAGAAAGGAAAAATTGAAATCGCATCATATGACCCCTTTAAAGGCTTATTTAAACTTATTTATAGTGAGAAAAATATAAAAAGTGTTTTGATCATATCTGAGATATTAAATGCAAAAATAAAGAGATAAAATGTACAGAAGTCAGCAAGGAATTTACATTCACATTGAACCAGCAAAGAAATATTGGTAATATTAACTGAAATATTAACTGGACCTTAAAATAAAGTGTGACTGAAATATTTTATGTGGTGTCAGTGAACATAAGTTTTGTGTTGACTGGAAGTGACTAAACAGCTAATGTCAGTTTGAACCGTGTGAAAAAGTTATATTTGCTTGAAAAGCAAAATTTGGAGAAAAAATAAACAGTGAAAAAATTAACTTTTCACTGAAAACATTTATTAATATCTTACTGACAGTCATAATAGTCAATTTATTTATTTCATTTTTTTATGGCCTCATCCAGAATTTTCCCTCTCACTCAGATCAGGGTTATTATCATCAGTTAAAACTAAAACTACAACAAAAAAAAAAAAAAACTAATTCAAAATATTGATGAAAACTATAACATTATCTCAAATATATTAAATAACACTGAAATGTCACATTTTTTTCATCCCAAATCAAATAAATGAATTCAACCTATTTTTAAAGGCATTACTTATATATATATATATATTATTGTTGTGAATTATGACATTTTGTTCAGCAACAATTACACAATTTTAGGACAGCACATTTACAGTTAAAAAAAAACAAAAAAAAACAATTAGCTTCACTGCACTGAGATTTTGAGGGGGAACGATTCTTGCTTGTCCTGAAAACAATGTTATAATGCAACAGTCCTAAACTATCATTCATTTATTTTATGCTATATATATTTCTTCTGATTTTGAGGTGAAACATAACCTGGAAATATTTGTGTGAAAATCACATCTAGGTCTTTACAACTGTCCTCATCCTGTGTTCTGGTGTACTGTTTGTCTTTAATTTCTGAGTTTACATCCCATCATTCTGACTTTTTTGTCTTAGAAATCTGAGTTTATCTCTTGCAATTTTGACATTTTTCTTAGAATTCGGACTTTTTTTTTCTTGGAATTCTGAGTTTGTTGGGGTTGTGTAAAAACATCTACTGCACTATAGT